GCGGATAAAAACATCACAATAATCCACAAGTAATCCACACCACTCCAGTCCATCAGTTAACATCTTGTGAAGTGAAAGAAAATCCATCATTAAAGCATTTTATCTTTTAACTTCTGAGTCCATCCCCTCGTCTTCTCACATAAAAACCACAGATGTATTTGTTTTCACTTGCTTGATCTGTGCATATTTCTGTCTTGATTCAGACAAGACAACTTTTTGACTGGGGAAAGCAACAATATGGATAGAGGAGTCATATTTTAGCCACAGGCAACAGTCTGAAGTAAAAAAAAAAACATCTTGATGAATTAGTTTCTTACAAACATGCAGCTTTTCTCTTCACAAGATGTTAACCGATGGACTGGAGTCATGTGGATTATCGTGATGTTTTTATCAGCTGTTTGGCTCTCATTCTGACGGCACCCATTCACTGCAGAGGATCCATTGGTGAGCAAGTGATGGAATGCTACATTTCTCCAAATCTGTTCCGATGAAGAAACAAACCTGTCTACATCTAGGATGGCCTTTTCAGCAAACAATCATTTTTGGGTGAACAATTCTTTTCAAAGATTTTTCCTTTTTCTTTACTGCTGGACACTTTTACAGTATTTGCCAGTGACCCATAAGAGACCATTGGGACAAAGTGACATGCTATGACTACTAAGATTTGTTAGATACAGCCATTTAGAGGTCCAGATGAACACAGTTCAACTTGGTTTTCACAATACTTGTATTTTTTAACTGATGGTTACGTAGAATACCTGTTGATCGGAGGGTAATGTTTGTAACTGGACTTTGGATGAGATTAGCTTTTGCTAGATTAAGCAGTCCTGAGCAAACCAGTTTGTTTCCTCCCTCCACAGCCCAGAGATTGGCCTGTGCCCCAGCTAGAGACACAGCACCTGTCAAAGAGAAGCAGACGACTCAGAACAGACATGAAACTGGGTGGTGAGAAGACAACTAAGATGGCCAGATGAATTTATGAGTATTATACTATGTACTTTGTTTCAGGATCATTCTGAACTTTCTCTTATCCTTGTAGCCTCATAAGATAAATAAAGGTGTCAAATCATGAAAACGTGATTCTTTTTTTTTTTTTTTTCTTCGTTTTAAATAAAACTGTGTCCAAAACACATGAATTGAAACCAATCAACAAAACAGTCAGGGGTTTTTTTTTTTTTTTTTAATTATTAAAAAATTCAGTGTATCATTCTAATAACCTATAAAGGATGTGCTGTGCATACCAACAAACGCAGGGATGCTGATGTTCTGGCCGTAGTTGACCCTCATGATGGGGGCTATGACTTCATCAATGAAGCGCTGGGAGACGCCCAACTCTAACAGAGACTCGGAAAGCGAGCGGCGGGTCATGTTGATAAATCCTGAACCCCCAAGAGAGTGCAGCAGCTCTTCTACTGAACTGAAGGCATAGCCATGGGCCTGGTATTTATAGATTCTGGCAGAAAACGGACAGCAGAATGTGTTAAAGGGGTCATATGATGTTGCTAAAAAGAACATTATTTTGTGTATAAAACACATCGTCACACACGGCGGGCTAGAGTTAGTGGCGGTCGGGCGGGCTTGCGGCAACCACATGTGACGACCCCGGGCTGGACTCCGCTTCGTCCACGTTGAAAGCCGATCCAGCGATCCACAGCGCGAAGTTGATGTATTTCCTCAGCGACCAGCACGGATCAGCTCTAGGTATGACAAGAGCTTGTAACACTCCAAAGAGAAAGGACAAATTGAAATCGCATCATATGACCCCCTTTAAAGCAAAAGAGAGGAAGAGGGGATGATGATGAGATGTGTCAAGGTTCCCCAATTCAAGCATCTACATAACATTTTTGTCATGTTGATCAGATTATAAAAGGATTATTTGGATGCATCTAACGTAGCTATTGATCATTCACAACTCCTTTGTACAAAAGGTCAGATTTCCTTGCTTTCCTCCATTTGGAACACTCTCAAAACATGCTAGATAACACAGACCATCAGGCTTTGCGCAAACCTGTGGAGCATTCGTTCCACGGCGTCAGAAAAGAAGATGCATGGACTGATTCTACAGCCTTTCCCTCACCTCATAAACTTCTCCATGATCTCCTCCACCCACATCTGCAGGCGGATGAAGCTGATCCCATAGCGCCACCACAAGCGAAACAAATCCAACAGGTACCAATCCGTCTCCTCCAAAATAAACTCGTCTCCATTGAACACTGCTGTTTTCCCAGCCACACTCTTTCGGTACTTCAGCCCTGTGGACGGGTAACATGAGAGACAGCAAAAAGCACTGAAGAAAACAGAAAGATTTGAAAACAAACCCCCGTACTGTAAATACGAGAAATATAAGAAGTCTCTGCCAAGAGTACTGCTCATACCCAGCATTAATTCAGTCAATTATTACTAAATGATACATTTTAGCAATATGAATGAATGCAGCTAACCCAGTTGCTGGACAAAGTCTTGCATGTGCAGGTTGAGGGAATGAATGATGGATCCACCGGACTCGTAGTCTTGGTGGTTCACAGTGACTGTAGCCAGACGACCCCCGACTGACCCTTTCTCGAATACATCAATCCTCACTTCCGGTCCGAAATGTTGCCTAAGGAAGTGAGCTGTAGCGGTTCCTCCAATTCCAGCTCCCACAACAGCTGCAAACACGACATCAGACTGTATTATGGGGTCTTTTCTTTACAGTGCCTTTTATTGCAGAATAATTCATATCATGTACATTTTGGCCTACCTATTTTAGAAGGCGGGGCACCATCAAATTTTGCAAAATCCGGATCCGCCAATACATGCACAAAAGAAAGAAGAACAAATAGATACTGATTCATGTTTGTTTATAAGAAACGAAACTCCTTCAATGAACAGAGGCTGCCCGCGCATTCAGGCTAAACGGATGCAGGAGCCTTTGTGCAGTTCTCCTCAACTCTTGGCGATTGTGATCCTGACAAAAAACCGCAAAATATCTGATGATTTAGATCAAGTTCGCTTCGACAGAAGAGTAAAAGCTATTTGCATTCATATTTGCTTGCTATTCGGCTACTGTACGACAACAAGAGCGCATGATCTTGCATGCGCACGCTTTCACCAATCAGAGCAAAAGAGACTCTCTTCTGGCCAATCAGAGCAGTAGAAACTTATCCTCGACCAATCGGAGTAGGAGAAACGTTCTTTCTTCCGGGATACGATGAAGCCTGATGATGGAACGGGCTTCTTCAAAACGATTGGTCAGGTGTCATTTTTATTGAAAGTTAAAAGCGATTTCGGCGACTTGCCAGCAATCACACGACCTATATTTAAAACACAAGAAATATGACTGACAGAGAGAGCGTTTCCGTATGGCTAAAAGTGGGCTGGCCGCTCCCCTGACTCAAGTAATATGGACAGTAGGACATTTGTGTGTGAAATTAAAAATCGACCTAACTTAAATTAGGCTATGCTTTTTAAAAAATTAGCATAGTCACCAATAAATAAATTAATTACTTGTATGTAAAATGTCTTAAAATGAGAACTAAACTGAAAATGAAAACAGTTAATTTTATTAAACAATTCAATTAAATTAGGTTCAATTAATATAAATAAAATGACACATTAAAAATGTTAAAGAATTAAATTAAATAAATGAACAGAGAAATGTATTATTTAAATAAATTATATGAAATGTATTTATTCGTTTGTTTGTTTGACATCTTTTTAAAGGTTAAACAAAGTGTTCCAGTGAGATGGCCATCAACGGGACTGTTAGTTGTTAGTTAATTCTGGGTCAAATAGAAATTCCCTTTTAGCCACCTGGTTTCTTAGAGGCTATGTTTTTTCCTGCTGATTTCCCAAACAAAGATTATGCTCAAGATTAAAAGGGATTTTCATAGAAATGACTGGTGCCAGGAACAGACTTGATACATGTCCAGGAAATATTGATGTGGCCATACCCTGTAGAGTTGGAATAGATTACAATACAGTTTTATTTAATTTTGTTCAGGAATATTGTGAACACTATCAAGGCAGTTTATACATCCTGAACTGTGCTATTAATTCTCATTAGTGTTTATGTTGGATTTGACACGTGTGCACTTTTAAAGGGCAGCGTTTATTTATACGCCGTCTTCTCATCATGAGTGGCCTATGACTTCAGGTCATCTGGAGCCTGTGATAATCTGACTCACTTCCTCTGTCATGTGACGAGAGAGAAAACTCTGTGGCGCAAGATGGGGCCACTGACATGATATGCAAGCACATCGAAAAATCATGACACGAGAGAGAAAACTCTGTGGCGCACGATGGGGCCACTGACATGATATGCAAGCACATCGAAAAATCATGATGGCTGATGTCATAACACACGATAAAACCAACTAAAGAAAAGTCATTACAGGACATTCCAGGATGTGCAAAATGATTTCTGACGTTTACAGTCATGTTGCGCTGTTGTAACAGTAAAGAAATACATTAAACGTTCGGCCTACTTTCAATGGAAATGCTTTTAGAATTCATTAGTTATTGTTGAAAAATAAACTGAAGGAAACACAATGCACAGAGCATTCTCGTATACGGGCAAGGAAATGCGTTAAAGCACAAAAATCAGAACGATCTCCAGAGCAGGAGGTCTGATATTTGGCATTGTTTTGGTACCCTTGGAAACTGGGCCGAAAAAGACTCTCGTATGTATAAGGAAAGTGAAAAAAAGTTTGTCTAATAACAGCCATATGACGGTTAGCAAAGACGAGATCTCGCACTCTTGATTGGCAAACCGAACAGGGTTAGGATTTCCCCGTCTCAACCCACGGACTTTACAGAGCGGAAATGGTGCATTAAATACTTAACCAACATTTCCTCCTGCTCTAGCGGTTGGGGTTTTCTCAACACCAACGTCGCTTACACGTAGCCTAGTCTGCAATAACAGGCTATTGATGGAAAATTAATGTTATTCGATCAACCTTTATCCATGAAACATGATTGCACCAGCATGTGCTGTTGGTGGTGTGACGTGGGTCTATATTATCATGGGCTGCGTGTTGTGCAATTATGGCTATCTTTGCACTTTGAGCAAGATGGATAGCAGTGGGACTTTCCCATGACTATGTGTGTGTAGTGTGGAACAAACGCCCATGCAAATGAGAGCGCTAATCGATCGGTTTATATAGGGATGCGCTGCGCGAGTAGGCGGCAGAAGAGCTTTCTGCATGTGTCTTATCATTCTCTGCAGGTGCATGAGAGAAATGATTCAGCATCCTCAATCTGGTACTGGTACCGAAATGACTCACCAACAACAGATGATGTGGACCTGTCGAGAAAAGAGGGGAAAACTGAAGGTTGGTTAAAAGAGGTGAGTGATAAAAAGCAGATAAATGACAGATGCGCATGTGGGTTGAAGAAGTTAATGGAGTTGAAGATGTAAAAAAAAAAAAAAAGTGTCACGAGTAATTTCATGGCAAAGGTATTATGGTTGCATTTCATGCAGTTAAGATGCTTTTTTGGAGGTGTTTTGGAGGAATTTTACAAATGTATAATTTATGATGCCAGTTCTTTTACACTCTAAAAAATGCTGGGTTGTTTCAACCCAACTTTGGGTCAAATATGGACTAACCCAACTGTTGGGTTAAAATATTGAATTTAAAAATTTAACCCAACAGTTGGGTTAGTCCATATTTGACCCAAAGTTGGGTTGAAACAACCCAGCATTTTTTAGAGTGTATGTCCAATAAATGTTGAAGTAAAACACATAATTTAGTGACACTTGAAGCAATTTGTGAGGTATTTTTTTCAATAGTTTTATACATACTACAGTTCAAAAGTTTAGGGTCAGTAAGATTTAGTTTTGAAAGAAGTCAACTGATTGTATGTGTATACTATTGATGTTATTTTGATGCATTCATTAATCAGAAAAGTTACAGTAAAGACTATTATCATGTTACAAAAGATTACTATTTAAAATAAAAAGCTGTTCTTTATTCTCAAAAAAAAAAAAAAATCTTACAGAGCCCAAACTTTTTATATTGTTAAACGGGATTTAACAGTTTTTTCAAACTGAGAATTCTTGTGTGCCGCTTTAAGAAAAGACAATAAGTCGCAGTAAAAATTATGTAAATCATATTACATTTGTTTGCGGTAGAAATTCTTTTGACAAACTGTAATGATAACATTCGCACACGAGAAATAAAAGTCAGCATGAATGATCTAAACAAACGTAATTAAAATCCAATCAACTGTAAACATTATTTAAACGATACTTTATCAGGGATCTTAGTTTTATTGGATTCTTGCAAGGACGTTGAACTGAGCTTGACAAATACTAATAGGATGCATCTGAAAGAAAATGTTCTTGAACAAACACAGAATTGCTGGAATCATGATGAGGAACGAGGAAACCCAAAATCCCGCTACACCAGAAACAAAGTAGTTGTGTGACACATTTTAAATAATACTAATCTTATCACATATGAGAAATGATCTAGGTGATTTTTATTGGCATTGTACCATTAAGTTACATTTTCATTTTGCTTAGGTCACCTGCTTGATGCATTCACAGTAGATTTGAATGGAGCTCTTGGCTTTGAGAACTGAATTCCAAGGGTGTCTGTTGTATATTCAGCCCACGGAGTTCAGTTCTTAAGTTTGGATGCTCACAGCATCTGCTCTGACCTACGACCTGAACCAAAACTCCTGCTACTGGACTGGAAGGTACTGATGCAGTTTATTATGCATATTTTTTTAAAACAGTCCTCTTCTTTCAGATTAGAGATGAGTGCTGTTTTTAGTCACAATGTACTAGTTACTAGTCTGAATTATTAATCAGCTACCTTTGTATTAAGCATGTATAAATGTTGCTTAAGTGGATTCTATCTCGAATTTGATAGAAAACTATTGCTATAGTGTTATATGATTATTTATTTATGACATTCAAGTGCCCACACTTGTAAGTGAAGAACTTGTTTGGTGAAAATACACCATTGTATATTTTTATACTTTGTTGCTGTCAAGTCAGAACGATAGCATTAAATTGTGTTTTTCTTGTGATAAAAATCTAAATGAATTACAAAAATTTTACAGCACATTTATATACAGTTACATTAAATATTAGTTTTCTATTGCTTAACTTTTGTTGTGAAGTGTTGTGGAAATGTAAAAAAAAAACTATATCAGTGTGATATATGATATGCATTTTTATTGTAATTTTACATTTCTTGTGTTTATGTTATTCGGTATAAGTAAAAATTTCAATAAGGTCATTGTTCTTTCAAACATTGTTATTAACTTTCAGAGCTTCGTTAAAACTGGTTCGCTAAAATACTTTGAAGTTGATTTTTTTTTTTTTGCAGTCAGCAGCGAAATTCAGATTTTTATCACATTTTCCTACATTTTATTACCAAGTTGTTTTAAGAGCTGATAACCAAGATAACCAAAATAACATATCCTTTTTTTTCCCAAATACTCTTATCTGATGGCCAGTTGTTAAATCACACTCACTTCTTGGCATCCTTAAAATAAAATTTCCAAATGAGTATCTTCAAGGATGGCCTGGCAGGACTAAAATAATGTATTTATGATTAAATAGTAAAAACAAATAAAAAATAAAAATAGAGATATTTAATCAAAATAGTACATTTAAAAATGAACTACTAAAAAAAACTTCAGTGTCTCTAGTTGTTTACAGCGTTCTTGTAAATGATGTCAATATGCTTAGTAATCCCTTTTCTATTGTAAATGCATGCTGTGAATGATTCATTCAAGTGTCTTTCTTTCTTTCTTTCTTTTATTTTTATTTTATTCAAAATCATAGATTTCTCTCTGCTGACATACTGGATTCTCTGCTTTAATCTGCCCCTTTCCTATAATCAACTACAAGCTCGCATTCAGACCTGCCTCCATCAAGTTAAAGGGAAAGTTCACCCAAAAAAATATTTTTTTCCCGTCATTTACTCACCCTCAAGTTGACGCAAACTTGTATGAGTTTCTTTCTGCTATTGAAAAAAAAAAGAAAGAAAAAAGAAGAAGATATTTTGAAGAATGTTGGTAACAAAAAGATTGATGGTAGCTGTTGACTTCCAAGTTATTTTTTACCATACAAA